ATATACTAATGAGTTATGCTAATGAGTTCCCCTAGCTCTTTTTCTACGAAACGACCGCTGATGGTATGTTCCACCACCAAGAGGCGCATAAGGATGTCGGCAATTTTAAGTCATGTGTAAACGGGGCCTGCAAAAGTTCCTAAGAACACAGAGAATCCCAGAGAGGGAGATTTGGGAAAGGGTGTCGATATTGTTCTCTCTCTCCCACTTCCTTAACGTATTGGTAGAAAAGGCCCAGCAGGAACTCATTAGCATAATAGGCCACACCCAACAGCAGGAACTCATTAGCATATTAGGCCACACCCCTGACAGCACAGCTCATTAGCACATCAGGCCGCACCCCCATGTTACCAGAAGCGTGGTCATCCAGCCACACCCACCTTTTGCTTCTTATTCTCTTTACCTTGTTTGTTGTCAAAGCCCAGGGCTTTTTGCATGTTAGGCCACACACCCCTAATTGTAGCCAATCCGAATGAGTTTCTGCTGTTGGGTGTGGCCTATTATGCTAATGAGTTCCTGCTGGGCGTGGCCAACTTGGGAGCCAGCCGGAACTCCGTTCCCGTGCGTTCCTGCCCCAAAATGGCCCTGGTGCTTCCGCTTTTCGCAGTACCGCAGCCAATGTAAACGAAAACAAACGTTTGCTCCTTGGGAATCCAAACTTTATTCTGTCCAATGGAAAATATTACATTCTTTTTCCTTCCAGACCTTTTTTTTTTTTGGCAGTTCTATATTATATTGTATTATAACTTGTGGTTGGCTAGGGTTTCCCCTTCTCGCCGACGTCCATCTGTGTTTACGGCAACTATTTGTCCTTCACTCGGCCTCGAGGACCAAACCAGGCATGACGATGGCAGCCGTCTCTGTTTAAAGCCCAATGAAACAGACCGTGGCGGGAGGGTGGGAGGCCATGGGCCACATTTCCCAGTTCCCGTTTGCTCTTTAAAAACTGGACGTTTCCCTGGAGACCTTGCCGTCGATGGGGCAGAATCTCTTGCCAATCAATGTGTCAGCATTTATAGATGCCATGCTGCTCTGAGCTCCGGAAAAGACGCTCCGCATACTTAGCCTCATCTCAAAAGGCTCTTCGGAAGGCCCTTCTTGGGGTTGCCACCTCTGGTTTGGGAAATTCCTGGAGGTCTGGAAAGTAGAGCCCGGGGAGGGCGGGGTTTGGCAGCCACTTTCTCCATGGGAACTGATTTCTGCAGTCTAGAGGCAGGGTTGCCAAGTCTGGGTTGAAAAATACCTGGAGACCTTGGGGGTGGGTCCGAGAGAGGGCGGGGTTTGGGGAGGGGAGGGGCCTCATCATGGTACAAGGCCAGGGAGTCCACTCTCCAAAGCGGACGTTTTCTCCAGGGGAGCTGATCTCCCCAATATCATAATGCCCCTATAAAAACCAATGGTGCGACCTCATTTGGAATACTGTGTGCAATTCTGGTCACCACACCTTAAAAAGGATATTATAGCTTTGGAAAAAGTGCAGAAAAGGGCAACTCGAATGATAAAGGGGTTGGAACACTTTCCCTATGAGGAAAGGTTAAGGCGCTTAGGGCTCTTTAGCTTGGAGAAACGACGACTGAGGGGTGACATGATTGAGGTTTATAAGATTATGCATGGGAAAGAGCAGGTAGAGAAAGAGGTACTTTTCTCCCTTTCTCACAATACAAGAACCCGTGGGCACTCCATGAAATTGCTGAGCGGTCGGGTTAGAACAGATAAAAGGAAGTACTTCTTCACCCAAAGAGGGATTAACACTTGGAATTCACTGCCACAGGAAATAGTGGCAGCTACAAGCATGGACGGCTTCAAAAGGGAATTAGATAAGCATATGGAGCAGAGGTCCATCAGTGGCTATTAGCCACAAGGTATAGATAGGGACTCTGGGGCAAGTGATGCTCTGTCATCTTGGTGCTTGGGGGGGGGTCAACAGTGGGAGGGCTTCTAATGTCCTGGCCCCACTGGTGGACCTCCTGATGGCACTGGTATTTCTGGCCACTGTGGGATACAGAGTGTTGGACTGGATGGGCCTTTGGCCTGATCTCCTCTCTTGGTTTCAATTTTGAAGTTTTCGAGCATCTGGGAGGGGGGGAAGGAAGAAGGGGGGGTTACACTGTGGGGGGGGGCTGACGAAGGAGGACGTTCACACACCCATTCATATCCTTCTTGTAAAAACGAATTGTCGTGAGCCTAACTACAAATTCGTAAAAGGCATCCCAACGCTGGGTTGTGGTTTGGCCCAGGCGAGAGCGATCTGAGCGGGAGAAGAGAGCGTTTTAATCCTCTCCCCGTAGCCAGGGTTGTTTTTGCTTGCGGGGCATGTTTTTTTTCCCTTGTGGGGCAGGCACAGCAGCGTCAAAAATAAAATAAACACAAATTGCAGCTCTTCAAACCTGAATGTGAGCTCCCGTCTGTAGTTCCAGCTCCTGCCAACCCAGCAGTTCGAAAGCAAGAAATTGCAAGTAGATAAATAGGTACCACTTCGGTGGGAAGGTAACAGCATTCCGTGCGCCTTGGTGTTTAGTCATGCCGGCCACATGACCACGGAAACGTCTTCAGACAGCGCTGGCTCTTCGGCTTGGAAACGGAGATGAGCGCCGCAACCCTAGAGTCGGATTTGACTGGCTTTCGAGCAAGGGACACCTTTACCTTTACCTTTTACCCCTCCGATCAGCTGTTAGGCCAGGAGTGAAACTGGCCAGAAGCGGCAGGGCTGCTGTGGGTAGGCTGGGGAAGGAAAGCAGAGGTTTTCCTACCTCATCTGGTCAGTTTCACTCCCCTCCCTTCAGCTGTTCAAAGTACAGCTGACCTGCCCGAGTGAAACTGACCAGAAGCGGCAGGGTGGCTTCCCTTCCTTTCCCCAGCCTCCCTGCTGCTGTTAGGCAAGGCACACTGGGGGGGGGGGTGAGGATGTCTGGGGGCATCTCGCAACCTCAGGTGGTGGGGCAGGCCTCGTGGGTGGTGGGGCTCTGCCCCCAAATGCCCCACCGTGGCTACGGGCCAGCTCTCCACCAGTGTCCCCTCTAAGCTGAGTCAGTGTGAGCCAGCTCACAGTTTTTTAGCCTCCGGCTCACCCATTTTTGTCTCGGCTCAGTAAGGAGGGCTCCAGAGCAAAGTGATTTATGCAGTAGCCGAATCACTGGCTCACAGCTTTCATTGCCAGTCGCTCACAAAGTAGAATTTTTGCTCACAAGACTCCACAGCTTAGAGGGAGCCTTGCTCCCCCACCCACCTTTCTTGCATGAAATCACCTGTCCCCGTGTTTTGACCCCCTACAAGAAGAAAAAGAGGTCTTTTGGAGTGGGGATTTCACTCCTGGCCTAACAACACTCCAGTTTCACTCCTGGTCTAGCAGCTGATCTGAGGGCAGTGAGAGCCAGTTTGGTGTAGTGGTTAAGACTCTAATCTGGGAGAACTAGGTTTGATTCCCCACTCCTCCACTTGCACCTGCTGGATGACCTTGGGCAAGCCGTAGTTCTGATAAGAGCTGTTCTTGAAAAAGGGCAGTTTCTGTCAAGAGCTCTCTCAGCCCCACCTACCTCACAGGGTGTCTGTTGTGGGGAGGGGAAGGGAAAGGGGTTTGTAAGCCGCTCTGAGACGCCGAGTGAAGGGTGGGGTATAAATCCAATCTCCTCCTCCTCCTCCAGATAAGATGTAGGTGAAGTTTTCATTGCAACGTATCTACAACCAATGCTGCTCATGTTATTTCCCATTGGTCCCTCTGCCTTGTACCAGCAAAAGAGACAAGACGAGGGAAAAGAAACCAACCAGGAGGTGACCACAACTCCTGCAGCATCAGGGGCAAACTCAAGATATATCCCTGGTTAAGATCAGTGCTCCCTCTAAGCTGTGGAGTCTTGTGAGCAAAAATTCTACCTTGTGAGCAACTGGTATTAAAGTGGTGAGCGGGCGATTTGGCTGCTGCATAAATTAGTTGGCTCTGGAGTCACGCTTCCTGAGCTGAGACCCAAAACGTGTGAGCCGGAGGCTAACAAACTGTGAGCTGGCTCGCACTAACTCGGCTTAGAGGGAACACTGCTCTGGAGCCGTCCTTCCTGAGCTAAGACAAAAATGTGTGAGCCAGAGGCTAAAGAACTGTGAGCTAGCTCACACTAACTCAACTTAGAGGGAACACTGGTTAAGATCACTGTTCCCTCTAAGCTGAGTTAGTATGAGCTAGCTCACAGTTTTTTAGCCTCCAGCTCATACATTTTTGTCTTAGCTCAGGAAGGACGGCTCCAGAGCAAAATAATTTATGCAGTAACCAAATCGCTCGCTCACAACTTTAATGTCAGTAGCTCACAAAGTAGAATTTTTGCTCACAGGACTCCACAGCTTAGAGGGAACATTGGTTAAGATATACATCTATGACGGTTAAAGGAGGAGAATCGGGAAACCTCCGGATCCTCCCCAGTGACAACGCCTCTCCCCAAATCAAACTGGAAAGGGAAGTTTTGGTAAACTATCTCCTAATTAGAGGAGATTTCCAGTTAGGGTGTTGTGGAACACTGTGGACATGTTATTATGATAGAAAAGAACAGGCAGAAGAGGTCTATCCAGTACTGGAGGTGTTTGCTCATCTCATGGACATGTCATTCCTTATCTCAGTGGTCTCAGACAACCAGGCAACGGCTCCCGCTGTCTAATCTGTCTAAGGGTCAATTCGCAAGTTACAAAGCCCTCAGGGCCATCGTGAGAACTTTGTATAACGTGTGCAATAGGAGTTTTGTGCCTCCCTGACACGCGCAGGGCCGATTCTGATCGTGAACGCAGCCTCCAGGTGGGGCCTGGGGATCCCCTGGGATTACAGCTCATCTCCAGACAACAGAGACCAGTTCCCCTGGAGAGAAGGGCTGCTTCGGAGGGTGGGCTCTGTGGCCTTGTGCCCCACTGAGGTCCCTGTCCTCCCCAGGCTCCACCCCCAAATCTCCAGGAGTTCCCCAACCCGAAGCTGGCAACCCCACCTCCCCATCCCCCCGCCGGAGACCGGGGGGCATCTAGCAACCCTATGCAGCACGCATGAAGGGGCTTCAGCTTCATCGATCCCTGTGCGCTTCTCATCTCTTGGAATGGTCCTGGAGAGCAGATATTGCACAGGTAGTTACATCGTTTGTGTAGTGGAGCAAATAACTGCTCCCCAGGGTGGTTTCCGGATGCTAAAACAGTGTTGGAGGTGCGATGAGCACCCATAAACTTGCCCTATACTGAATCAAACCCTCAGTCCATCAAGGTCAGGGTTGTCTACTCAGACTGGCAGCAGCTCTCCAAGGTCTCAGGCCGAAGTCTTTCTCATCATTCACTGCCTGGCCCTTTTAACGGGAGATGCCGGGGATCAAACCTGGGACCTTTTTCATGCCAAGCAGGTGCTCTGCCACTGAGCCAGGGTCTCAGGTCAATTCCTTCCCCATCACCCACTGCCTGGTCCTTTGAACTGGAGATGTTGGGGGTTGAACCCGGGACCTTCTGCATGCCAAGCAGAGGCTCTGCCACTGAGCCAGGGTCTCAGGTCAAGGTCTTTCCCATCACCCATCACCCACTGCCTGGTCCTTTTAACGGGAGATGCCGGGGATCGAACCTGGGACCTTCTGCATGCCAAGCAGGTGCTCTGCCACTGAGCCAGGGTCTCAGGTCAATGCCTTTCCCATCACCCACTGCCTGGTCCTTTTAACGGGAGATGCCGGGGATCGAACCTGGGACCTTCTGCATGCCAAGCAGGTGCTCTGCCACTGAGCCAGGGTCTCAGGTCAATGCCTTTCCCATCACCCACTGCCTGGTCCTTTTAACGGGAGGTGCCGGGGACTGGACCTGGGACCTTCTGCATGCCAAGCAGGTGTTCTGCCACTGAGCCACAGCCCCTCCCCAAAACACACATGAAGCTGCTTTCTACTGAATCAGACCCCTGGGCCATCGAGGTCAGGATGGTCTACTCAGACTGGCCGCAGCTCTCCAGGGTCTCAGGCGGAGGTCTCTCCCGTCACCTACTTGAAGCTCCTGGGCCCCAGATGCATCTGAGAGGCATGAAACTCCCATTGCTTGTCTGATACGAAATTCTTTGGGGTGACTGGATGGACTTTCTGTGGGGTTGCCAGGTCTCCCCTGGCCACCAGCGGGGGATGGGGGTTGTCGGGTTGCCAGATCCAGGTTGGCAAACTCCTGGAAATTTGGGGATGGAGCCTGGGGAGGCCAGGGACCTCAGTGGGGTACGATGCCACAGAGCCCACCCTCCGAAGCACCTGTTTTCTCCCGGGGAGCTGCTCTCTGCAGTCTGGAGCAACGCTCCCTCTCAGCTGTGGAGTCTCGTGAGCAAAAATGCTACTCTGTGAGCTACCGGCATTAAAGTTGTGAGCGGGCAATTTGGCTACTGCAGAAATTAGTTTGCTCTGGAGCCCCATCCTTCCTGGGTGAAGACAAAAATCTGTGAGCTGTGGGCTAAAAAAGCTGTGCGCTAGCTCACACTCACTCAGCTTAGAGGGAACACTGTCCTGGGGGTGAGCTGTAATTCCAGGGGATCCCCAGGTCCCACCTGGAGGCTGGCCATCCCTAATTTTCTAACATACACACTAAAGATCAAACTTCCTGCGACACCGGAGAGCTGTAGCCTTTCACAGACACGCACGAAGAACAGGGGAAAAGAGATACATAACGTATAAGGCTGGACTTAGGCAGGCACACACACGTATCTCAAGCGTGTTCATGAGAGGAGAGGGGGGCACACTCACGTGGATCATGAAGAGGTGCATCTCGAGCTCCGCGATCCTGCGGCCGATGCACTGCCGGGGCCCAAAGCCGAAGCTCAGTCCTCGGAAGTGTTTGGAGTCCGTGTTCAGCCACCTGTCTGGGTTGAACTGGTCGGGCCGGGTGAAGAACCGGGGGTCCCGGCCCATGGCGTAAATCCCTACCTGCACCAACGTCTGTGCAGAAGAGAGAGAGAGAATCAAACAGCAGACACCGTCAAGGGCTCCCTGTGCCAGAACTCCAGAGCAACTGAGGTTGAAGGTTGGGTGGAAATCTTGCTTTCCAAAAAGGGAATCTATTTTATGCCATTCCTAGGGCCAAACGTAGGGTTGCCAAACCCCCCCCCCAGTTTGCCAGGGGCCCCAACAGGGGCTCTTCTTGCATTCTTATGAAGGCCTCGGCTTCTATGCCCTTAGCTCACACTAACCCATCTTAGAGGGAACACTGGCCTGGAGAGGAGCTGTAATTCCAGGCGATCCCCAGGTCCCACCTGGAGGCTGGCATCCCTAATTTTCTAACATACTTAATTCACACTAAAGATCAAACTTCCTGCGACACCAGAGGGCTGTAGCCCTTCACAGACACACACGAAGAACAGGGGGAAAGAGATACAAAACGTATAAGGCTGGACTTACACAGGCGCGCACACGTTATCTCAAGCGTTTTCCAAATGCAGGACTGTTGGTGAGAGGAGAGGGGGCACACTCACGTGGATCATGAAGAGGTGCATCTCGAGCTCCGCGATCCTGCGGCCGATGCACTGCCGGGGCCCAAAGCCGAAGCTCAGTCCTCGGAAGTGTTTGGAGTCCGTGTTCAGCCACCTGTCTGGGTTGAACTGGTCGGGCCGGGTGAAGAACCGGGGGTCCCGGCCCATGGCGTAAATCCCTACCTGCACCAACGTCTGTGCAGAAGAGAGAGAGGGAATCAAACAGCAGACACCATCAAGGGCTCCCTGTGCCAGATCTCCAGAGCAACTGAGGTGGAAGGTTGGGTGGGAATCTTCCTTTCCAAAAAGGGAATCCACTTTATGCCGTTTCTAGGGCCAAACTAGACATGTCGTGACTCTACTGAGGCTATCATACTTGGGTCGTGTTACAAGAAGATGAGAACAACCAGAAAACACAATAATGCTAGGGAAAGTGGAAGGCAGCAGGAACTGGTTGGCCCCTGTGTGAGACCGGAGGCTGGACTAGATGGACCCCTGGTCTGATCCAGCAGGGCTCTTCTGATGTTCTTATCAGGGAAGGCCTCGGCCTCTATGACCTACTGTTGGCCGTTCAGGGGAGCTGGTTGGGCGCTGTGTGAGACAGGATGCTGGACATGGTGGTCCACTGGTCTGATGTTCTTATACTGAGAGAATTATCTACTTATTTATTTATTTACTCAGGGGTCATTTCCTGCGGGAGCGCACAGGAGTGACGCTCCGGCAGTAAGGAGCCCGGGGGGCAGGCACATGCAACATGCCCCACCCCCTGCTCCTAGCAACCCTCAGTCAGAGCAAGAAGCAGCCAGGTAAGTTGCAGAGCTCCCCCTGGCCCCCCAGTCCCAAACAGTCCAGTGGCACCTTTAAGACCAAGTTTTATTCAGGTGCAAGCTCTCTCTCCTCTATGAGGACAGATCTGCACATTCCCCCCACCCAATAGCTAGCAATCCAGAACAGTCCAGTGGAGCCTGAGCGGTGGGTGTTGCCTTCTGACACACTTCCGGTGATGTCAGGGGCTGCGGCATATGCAAATGAATCATGCTAATGAGTTGTGCTAATGAGCTCCTGCACCTCTTTTTCTACGAAACGACCCCCACACCATTGCTTCCAGGAGGACTGGTCTCAGTCACCTGGAGCTCAGTTGTAATAGCAGGGGACGTTCGGGCCCTACCTGGAGTTTGGGAACTCTGTTCCATGCCGGATGCTCACCTTGGCAGGGATGAAATAATTCTGAAGGATAATCTCTTCTGTCGTGAACCTCTGTATGGTCACGGCGACCGGGTGAAGCCTTGAGGGAAAGAGGTAACATTGACCCGCTCTGCAAACCTTCTATTTGAGAGATGGATTTACTTCTGTCTTGTACAGTCCACTTCTTCAAACAAAACCAAACTAGACTCCCCATGGGTTCGAGGGCAAGAGTGTCTACTAAGCAGATTTTAGCTGTTAAGGCATAACGAGTCCTTGCTAAGTGATCCTGAGTATGATACTCTTAGTGAAGGACATACAGACAGCCTACATGGATCAAAAGGCCAAGTCCTGCATTCCTTACAAGAATTCTAACAACCAGCAGGTCCTTGGCGGCCTGCTGGAACTTGGTCCAATGCTGGGAAATGTGTAACAGTGAGCCATGCTCAATCTGGAAGGGACCGTGGCTCAGTGGCAGAGCATCTGCTTGGCATGCATAAGGTCCCAAGTTCAATCCCCGGCATCTCCCGTTCAAAGGACCAGGCAGTAGGTGATGGGAAAGACCTTGACCTGAGACCCTGACTCAATGGCAGAGCCTCTGCTTGGCATGCAGAAGGTCCCAGGTTCAATCCCCGGCATCTCCCGTTCAAAGGACCAGGCAGTAGGTGATGGGAAAGACCTTGAGCTGAGACCCTGGCTCAGCGGCAGAGCCTCTGCTTGGCATGCAGAAGGTCCCAGGTTCAATCCCCGGCATCTCCAGTTCAAAGGACCAGGCAGTAGGTGATGGGAAAGACCTTGACCTGAGACCCTGGCTCAGTGGCAGAGCCTCTGCTTGGCATGCAGAAGGTCCCAGGTTCAATCCCCAACATCTCCCGTTAAAAGGACCAGGTAGTACATGACAGAAAAGATCTCAGTCCTTTTAGTACTTGCATCTAAAAAATAAGAAATGTTTTCTGCTGCTCAAGATTCGTCAATCGATGAGCTTCGAAGGGTACTACAGGAAAGACCTCAGCTTGAGTCCTGGAGAGCGGCTGCCAACCTGTGTAGACAATACGAACCTTGATGGACCAAGGGTCTGATTCAGTAGAAGGCAGCTCCGTGTGAAATCTTCATCCCAACCCCTGTTGCTTTCGCCTTTCCATCCATACTTGAATGCACACGGAGGTATTATAATTTCCCACTGTGCTGTGAACATCTTTTTGACATCATCAAACCACAAAAGATGTCCCATGATTGAGAATGGCATAGAAATGTGGATTTTGTCAAGGGGGGAATTCAGCTTCTTTACCCTTCACAGTTTTGGAAACAAAGCTCCCTGATACTGAATCAGACCACTAGTTCGTCCATGTCAATACTGTCTGCTCAGACTGGCAGCAGCTCTCCAGGGTCTCAGGCTGAGGTCTTTCCCATCACCTACTACCTGGTCCTTTTAGCTGGAGATGCCGGGGATTGAACCTGGGACCTTCTGCAAGCCAAGCAGAGGCTCCACCGCTGAGCCACAGCCCCACTCATTTAGCACTGTCTACTAAGACTGGTAGTGGCTCTCCAGGGTCTCAGGCTAACATCTTTCCCATCACCTACTACCTGGTCCTTTTAGCTGGAGATGCCAGGGATTGAACCTGGGGCCTTCTGCATGCCAAGCAGAGGCTCCACCACTGAGCCACAGCCCCACTCAATTAGCACTGTCTACTAAGACTGGTAGTGGCTCTCCAGGGTCTCAGGCTAACATCTTTCCCATCACCTACTACCTGGTCCTTTTAGCTGGAGATGCCGGGGATTGAACCTGGGACCTTCTGCATGCCAAGCAGAGGCTCCACCGCTGAGCCACAGCCCCACTCATTTAGCACTGTCTACTAAGACTGGTAGTGGCTCTCCAGGGTCTCAGGCTAACATCTTTCCCATCACCTACTACCTGGTCCTTTTAGCTGGAGATGCCAGGGATTGAACCTGGGGCCTTCTGCATGCCAAGCAGAGGCTCCACCACTGAGCCACAGCCCCACTCAGTTAGCACTGTCTACTAAGACTGGTAGTGGCTCTCCAGGGTCTCAGGCTAATGTCTTTCCCATCACCTACTACCTGGTCCTTTTAGCTGGAGATGCCGGGGATTGAACCTGGGGCCTTCTGCATGCCAAGCAGAGGCTCCACCGCTGAGCCA